AGTGGTACATTGTTACTGGTGGTCGGAGGGTGATGCGACCCCGCTCACCCCGCATGACGTCACACGAGCTCAAACTAGATATCAACATGGACCATGGTTCAAGAGACGATTTAAGAGGTTTAAAGAGAGCTTGGAAGCATTCAAGGTGGAAGAAAAGGTCATTTCAAGCAAGGCCTACGAGTTTGTTGATGTGAAATCCATTGGCAGAATATATAATTCTCGTGGTCCAAAGATGAAGGTCCGAGTACGACGATACAAGGATCAAATGGGATCATTCTTGATGGACGTGGACTTGCTAGAAGGAAAGTCCATCACATTGCTACGATTTATGGACTAGAATGAAGAGAAGATGGGCTTGGTAGAAGGAAGGAAGATCTCCCATGGTGTGAACACAAGGTGTGAAAAGGAGTACAAGTGTGAAAGGAATATCATGTGTGAACACAAGACATGTGAGGGAGGATTGCAAGGCTAGAATCTAGGGAGTTGTTGACCAAGTCTTTTACTTGTCTTTTAAGGATTGTGTTTTCCTTTTACTTGTCTTTTAAGGATTGTGTTTTTTCCTTTTACTTGTAGGATTTGTTTTTCATTTTAAGCTTTGGATTTGTGTTAGCTAGTCTATAAATAAGAGGCTGAGTTCCTCATTGTAACTCATTCAATTATCAATCAACTTTCAAGTTACAAGTTCATACGAGCTAGTTCTTTGTGCAAGCTTCTGTTGAGAGTGCTCCAGGAGTTTCACGTGTCTCTTATCAACTAGAGAACGCGTCTAGTTGTGGCGAGCTTCTACCCAATAGCGATTGGCCTTATTCACGAGTGGGTGATTGTTTGATTGGTTTCATATACCAATTGGCCTTTCACACGAGTTGGAATCTGTTTGATCGTGTTTCATCATTATCTTTTGTTCGAGTTCTTGTTCGTTGGAGAAAAGCTTCGAAAACCCATAAAAAGTAGGAAAGCTGCGTACTTTGGTCACATCAAGTGGTATCAGAGCCTGGTTCAAACGCAGCGGAGAAGAAGGTTCTTTGGTAATCTTGTCGTGTTCTTGAAGGTTTGGACGTCATCGTAAAGGATCTTGGAGGAGTCTTTACGTTCTTGAAGGTTCTTGCGAGCTATCTTGAAGGAGTAATTAGTGCCGCAAATATGGGAGACGAGATCAAGGCATTGACTGATCAAATCCAAGCATTACTTCAAGCACATACCACCAGCCAGAGGGAGATTCAAGCGGCGCTACAAGCTCAAAATGCAAGAATGGAAGCTTGGGAAACACGGATGCAAGCACCACCAAACCCTAACCCTAATGTTGCTGCTGAAAGGGCTAGGAGGGAAGAAGAAGATCGTGGAGAGAGAAGGGTGGCACAACGACCCGTGTTCGAACATGCTAGGCGACATCGGCCAATGGGTGGACTACATGCAAGACGAGGCCAGCCTCGTGATGAAGAGGTCGAATATGAGGATGACGAGGGTTACCCTCGAGATGAAGATGATGATTTGAGGAATATTAAGGTCAATATACCATCGTTCAGAGGTTCTACTAATCCCGAGGCTTACCTAGATTGGGAACGAAAGATGGAGTTGATCTTCGATTATAACAACTATTCTGAGAGGAAGAAAGTACAAGTGGCCGCACTCGAGTTTACGGATTATGCCATTGTGTGGTGGGATCAAGTAAGCATGAGGAGGAGGAAGAATAGGCAGCCGCCTATTGAGACATGGGCAGAGATGAGAACTGTAATGCGGGATCGATTTGTGCCTAGTTCTCATCGTAGAGAGATGCATCAAGCCCTACAACTTCTGCGCCAAGGTACCAAGAGTGTAGAGGATTATTACCGCGAGATGGAGATGCTAATGATTCGAGCGGATTTGGAGGAAGATCGTGATGCTACCATTGCACGATTCTTATATGGGCTTAATCGAGAAATTAGAAATGTGGTGGAACTTCACCCCTATGCGGATCTATACGATTTGGTTGCAATAGCAGCCAAAGTGGAGAAACAACAACGTAGTAACATTGGGAGGAGATTCACGCCACCACAAGCAGCACCAAGGCCAGGAACGCCTTCAACTTCAAACCCTAGGCCAGCCATAACGAAGCTAGAAGCATCAACACAGGCAGCCAAGGTTGAAGCACCAAGAGACAAGCCCACAGGCTCTAGTGGAGGCATTCAATGCTTCAAATGTCATGGAAGAGGGCATATGGCCAACCAATGCCCTAATCGAAGAGCTCTAGTCCTACTAGAGAATGGAGAATATGTCTCGGATTCCGAAGAAGAGGAGCACGCGAGGGAGCCATCAGAATCTGAAGTTGACGAATCAATAGAAATGGAGCCCCCTCCTGGAAGTTTGCTTGTCACAAGAAGAATGCTAAGCGTGCAACCCAAAGAAGACCTCGAGCAAAGGGAGAACCTGTTTCACACGAGATGTGTAGTGGATGGGAAGTTGCTTGCCGTGGTGATTGATGGCGGAAGTTGCACTAACGCTATTAGTACCATAGCGGTTAGCAAACTGGGATTGAGCACAATCAAGCATCCCAAACCCTACAAGCTTCAATGGCTCAACGAGGATGGTTCAATTAAAGTGGCAAGGCAAACTCTTCTGAAATTTGCCATTGGAGGATATAAGGACGAAGTTCTGTGCGACGTAGTACCTATGCAAGCTACACACGTCCTACTTGGAAGACCATGGCAATTCGATCGAGGCGCACAACATGATGGAGTCTCCAACAAATATCGATTGATGCATAAAGGAAAGAAGGTCGTGTTGAAGCCCTTGTCTCCCAAGGAAGTCTATGAAGACCAATTACAATTACAACGAAACAGGGAGCAAGAGAAGGAAGCTAGTGTCATGGGCCAGAAGAAAGGTGAAACTAGTGTCTTGGAGCCTAAGACATTGATGCTAGCACGTAGTGAAGATATGAAGCCAGCAATTAATGAGTCATCACCTACTCAAGTTGATTTTGTCATGGGAGAAGCCGTACAACAACATCAAATTTCGTCCCAAGGCATAATCAACGCATCAAGTACTCCCACACCACCCATTTCTGCTCATGAGCATGGTCAAAACCCTCTTCAATGTAAGTCAATTCATATGCAAGATTATGGTGAGATTATTGACCACATTGATTTTGTTATTGGGGATGAAGTGACATACATAGAGGCTCATATTAGAGAAAGACGAAGACTCCAAGAGTTTGTGGATCATCTTAGTTTTCAAGGTGCATGGTCAAGAAGGAAAATAATGAAGTCACGGGGGAGAATTTATATGCCACAACAAGATTTGAGGTCAAATCTTTTTCAAGAGGGAGGGAATGATGCGACCCCGCTCACCCCGCATGACGTCACACGAGCTCAAACTAGATATCAACATGGACCATGGTCCAAGAGACGATTTAAGAGGTTTAAAGAGAGCTTGGAAGCATTCAAGGTGGAAGAAAAGGTCATTTCAAGCAAGGCCTACGAGTTTGTTGATGTGAAATCCATTGGCAGAATATATAATTCTCGTGGTCCAAAGATGAAGGTCCGAGTACGACGATACAAGGATCAAATGGGATCATTCTTGATGGACGTGGACTTGCTAGAAGGAAAGTCCATCACATTGCTACGATTTATGGACTAGAATGAAGAGAAGATGGGCTTGGTAGAAGGAAGGAAGATCTCCCATGGTGTGAACACAAGGTGTGAAAAGGAGTACAAGTGTGAAAGGAATATCATGTGTGAACACAAGCCATGTGAGGGAGGATTGCAAGGCTAGAATCTAGGGAGTTGTTGACCAAGTCTTTTACTTGTCTTTTAAGGATTGTGTTTTCCTTTTACTTGTCTTTTAAGGATTGTGTTTTCCTTTTACTTGTCTTTTAAGGATTGTGTTTTTTCCTTTTACTTGTAGGATTTGTTTTTCATTTTAAGCTTTGGATTTGTGTTAGCTAGTCTATAAATAAGAGGCTGAGTTCCTCATTGTAACTCATTCAATTATCAATCAACTTTCAAGTTACAAGTTCATACGAACTAGTTCTTTGTGCAAGCTTCTGTTGAGAGTGCTCCAGGAGTTTCACGTGTCTCTTATCAACTAGAGAACACGTCTAGTTGTGGCGAGCTTCTACCCAATAGCGATTGGCCTTATTCACGAGTGGGTGACTGTTTGATTGGTTTCATATACCAATTGGCCTTTCACACGAGTTGGAATCTGTTTGATCGTGTTCCATCATTATCTTTTGTTCGAGTTCTTGTTCGTTGGAGAAAAGCTTCGAAAACCCATAAAAAGTAGGAAAGCTGCGTACTTTGGTCACATCAGAGGGAGTCTGACGGAAGGATTTCACCAGAGAAAATCAGTCGATTGGAGTGGAGTGGCTGCTGGAAAAAGAAAAGAGAGGTAAAAATTTATCTATTATGGAAATTACAAAAAAGCAATGTGTTTAATACGAATTTTTTATAATTACCAAAGTGTAACTACAAAAAAAGTAATAAATAAGATTCTTTATTGGTATACCCAAATTACCTTGTTGGCTATGAAATTCACAATCCCCCTTAGAGGTTGTGATAGGATCCTGTCCCGCTAACTCATCTCCGGAACCAACAAATGGTTGTCAGTCAACAACCGTCCAACTTGCAGCCTGCAGGCTTCCCAATCCTCATCTCTTACTACGTACATTTACACCAACTACCATAATGAAGATGTTCATGATGAGACAATGGCTAGATCTTGATCAATCTTAATGAAGTCACTACATATTAATAGTTGTTGAATACTTTGTGAATGTTCTGAATTTTAGGATATCTCATGGTGAAATCGTTTATTAAATTAGAAAAAACGCAGAAAGCAGAAACAGGAGCAGTACAAACTGAAAAGCGGGGGCATCATAAAAGGAATACAGACAAAGATCTCAACAAGGAACAAAATGAAACCCAACAGAACAAGAAAGTTCAGTTATAACAAAGAATACTTGTTGGAGTAAAGTTGCAGGATAATGAACTCTTGAGCATAGTAGTGAAGAGTGAGCGGTAAAGCCATCAAACTACTGCTGGTAGAATTCTAAGTTGTTCAATGCATGACTGAACTTCAATTTCGTAACGATCATTAGCTTCCAGAGCCTCTGAGTAGGTTATTCCTCGATAAGCAGGTGGATGGGTGTCGTCCACAAATTCCGATGTCGGAGCCACAAATTTGTTTATAGATGGCCCATGAAGCGTGCCTATAGAGATCCTCCTCGTCTTGTAGCTACCCACCAACACCCGATGAATGTGACTCTTGTATTTGCCGTTAGTTAGAAGCTATCATGCAACACATACGAATTTGTGTCACAAATCAATTCATGGCCACCAACAAAATATTGAATATAAACTCAATGAAAATACATTTCTAAAGAGAAGCCCAAATCAGGGGTGTTTTTTACTATTATGTTTTATGTTAGTTTGTGGTCTATTTTACAAGTTTTGCCGTGTGGCCTGTCATACTTCTGGTTTGGTATATGAGTTTTTAGTTATGTTTCATGATATTTAATATTTATTATCAGCTTTATAAATTTTCTGGTCTGTTTCAGAAAATACGTGGTAACCTCGTGAAATTTCTATTGCGGTTTCTCTTCTTTCTGGCGTTTAATTCCCATTGTCAATGTTTAATTCCCATTTATGTTCTCACTATCCAAGGCTGAGGTCTAGTCTTAATATATAAACTTAATAGCCTCATTTGGCGCCGTGGCTTATGCTTCCGATACCTTTCCTTGCCCAAGACCACGGAGTGCGTTAATTACTCCAATCAAAGTCAGCTCTATGTTTCCCCCAAGGCCCCAACTACATTTGGATAATCAAGTTTGTTTGCCGGACCATCTCCAATCTATATATAAAGATCTCTCCGCCATTCTTCCGTAGCTTTTGCATCCCTCTCTCTCCCCCGCCTTTATTCTCCAATCCCAAGAACGTAAACCCATCATCCACATGCGCACAGCTGGTTTCATTAATGGCGGATCAAGTTATTAACGCGGCTGAGTTCTGTTTTAAAAGTTAGGCTTCCCCATGATGAAGATGTTCGTGATGAGACAGGAGTGGCTGGATCAAGGTTGTCAACCCGGGGTTGACCCGTGGGTCGACCCACTTTGACCATGACCCGGTGAGAAAAACGGGCCGCACGCACCCGCCGGGCCGACCGCTACAAGGTACCGGGTTGGAGGTCAAATTGTGTCATTTTTTTCATCGGTTTGCGAAATGCGCCTATTTTCCGATTTTTCTTTTCGCCTAGCTCAATTTTTGGAATGCTAAGTTGAACATTTGAATATTTATGTTATATAAGTGTGTTTGAATTTTCACTATATATGTTGGATCTATATACGATATGTTATTTTGGTGTAATATTATATGTTATAACTCATATGTTAGATAAGATTTGATATAATTTATGAGGATAAGTACAATATAATGACTTTTTCCATATTTCCGGGCTAAAACGGTTGACCCATTAACCCTTGACCCACTAGCTCGACCGGGTCCGGGTCAACCCGCGGGTTGACAACCTTGGGCTGGATCTTACTACGTAATGTTCGATATCCCAAGATTGTTTTTTATTTTTTATATAATGGTGATACCATATTAATTACGTAATGTTATTTGCTAAATGACTCCTTATAAATTGCATCAATTACGTAAATGTTATTTTAGTTAAGGTTAACTAATTAAATTATATAAAAACCAACTGGTGATCATCAGCACGTATATAACTAAATAGATAAATAAATAAATATACCTCTAGTTGGTCTCCAAGTTGGATTAAGATGGCATGGGGAGGGATGTGGACGTTGATCCATTTTCCTTGGTGGGTTAGGATTTGAAGGCCGCCATCCATATCTTGGACGAGGGAGACGATGAAACCAGGATCGGTGTGTTCAGCCAGTCCCATGGTGCCCTTCGACATGAAGTTTGGTGGGTAATGATTCATGGCAGCCACGTCAAATCCCAATTCCAGTTCGAAAGCATCCTCTATGTAGGACTCTTCCTGTCCCAAAGTTAAGGACATAGCCCTTGCTAAGCCCAGCTTCACTTCATGCAATCTGCTCTCGTACTCTCCCAATGCCTCTCTGTGCACAAAACGTGTTCATTGTCAGTGAATACATCTGATAGCGGCGGGGAGGTGGTGTTGTATCAAGGTTGTCAAACCGGTTTATGTCAGTGTGCCGGTTTAGCAAGTGAAATGATTCGACCGGTGGCACATACTGGTTTGTGTCGGTTCATGTCGGTCAATATTACAAATAAAATTATAAATACTCATATTTAAACAAGACATTTAACGTCAATACCTAAACATTTATACTTGAATCCAACAAATAAAATCAATATTTAACTTTTATACTCATAAAATAAATAATAAAATAATTTTTAACAATTAAATTCACCAAAATAAGATCATTTTACTTAGAGATTCGTATATCGATCATGCCGATCATACCGGTGGTGGCACGTCGGTTTTATGACCAATACCGATTGAACCAGGTACAATCGGTGGCACGCCGGCCGGCATGACAACCATGTTTGTATAGAATATACCTAAAGAATGGAGGATTGGGAGGGCAATGGAACGTCGGACGAGCGAGGAGCTTGAGATGTTCTCTGTTCTCGCCGGCATGACACCTGGCATCCCAAAGAATCCTAGCTCCGGGATCACCTTTCTTGTACTTGCTCTTCTCCTCCACCGGCGTTCGCTCGAAGAAATCGGCGATCCCACTCAAAGCACCGTCTATCACTCCATCGGGAATCCCATGGTTCACCAGCTGCGCATGCATGAAGTAACAGCTACGTACTTGAAATATATTCCATTCCAAAATAAAACTCATGCGATCGAGAGAGTCTAATTAGCAGAAATGTTACATGTACGTACGTTGAAGAAGCCATAGTGCTCACAAGCTGCTGAGAGGCAGTCCAGGGCCTTGGAACGGTGGGCAGTGTCGGCGGAGAAGAGGGAGAAATAGTCGATCGTCGGGATTTCTTCGTCGGCGGCGGCTGTTGGTGCTTCTTGCGATGAATATGTAGGAGTAGTGTTAGTGTGGACTGAGGACAGGCGGCGGCGGCAGAAAGTAGGAGCCGGCAAATTGCTTGGAAGTGGTTCAAGTGGTTGAAACATTTTTGTTTTTTCCCCCCTTATGGAAAATTGGTTTAGAATTATATTCTTGGTTTTGTTTAGACAAGTGGAGCTGTTGCAGACAGAGTGGGAAGGGGGCAAGGGAATTGCTTTGAATGCTTTCACTGATTAGTTTTTGCTATTTTCACACTCTAAACATTCAGATTACACCATGCCTTTTATAACATTGTGATTGCAATAAATTATCTGGAAGTTTTAGCACTCTTAATGATGAATTGAAAATGGTGGCTGCATCCATGTGAGTCAATGTACAACATATCATTATAACAATTAATTATTCTAGGACGGTCTTTAACCTAACCTATGACCTATCTAAGCTTTATGCCAACCTAATTTTACCCAACCTAACTCAATCATATGTACTGTCGAAAACTCTGATATCATGTTAAGCAAACAAGTCACTTAATCTCAATAATCCAAATTGTTCAGAAAGAATTTGAATTTTTTTTTATCTCACTTTCATGAGTCATGACAAGTCAGTGGCCGATGGCTTCATCCACCAATCTCAGCGGACCATCATCATCTCTGCCCCGAATGCCAAACAACTTGAAGTGAGACTATTTGTTGATTTTCTCTGTTTTGTTTGTTTTTCCTTGTTTCTTCCCCTAATAATTAATTGATTGATTAATTTCTGTACATCATTGGATTGTCTACGTGCAATCAAAACATATATACAGATTCTTTTAAGGCGCGTAAACTATATATATATATATACGTGCTAGATTTTATTCAAAGTAAGTAATATACGGGATAGGAAAGTGTTCAGTGAGTGCCAGTACTCGATATTGGAGCGTTGACGAAGGCCAAGTGGGAAGCAGAACAAGTGGAGCTCAATGCGCTTCCTTGCAGTCTGAATTGGATCGTTAAACTTAACCTAATTGCTTAGCCCGTGATGACTAAGTTGAATTAAATATATATTATGATGTCAAATTAAATATTTTTATCTTTTTATCATCATATACCACAATTCGAGTCTTCGACTACAGCCAAAGGCTCTTGCTTGGCTTGGCTTGGCTTTTGTCAAACTCCAAAGATCCAGCGTGGGAGCGTGGAGTTGATGTGGATAGTGATGATAAAAGTGTACAAATGCAAGTTCTACTCCAAGATGTATTTCTTACTTGACCTAACTATACTAAGTGATTTTCATGAGAGCTCGATGGATATCTATGTATTTATTTAGTAGGCAAACTTACCTTGAAGTAATTAAGTGCTATTTATTTGAGCATTAGTCAGGATATGCATTGAATGTTCATAAGCGGTATATTATACATAATTGAGCATTTTCCAACAACTCGAGTTATTTGTACTAACTGATTTTTGGCATGGTATCATAGCTTTGTGTGATCGAGAGGTCTTCTATTTGAACCTCGATGACCCCCAATTGGTAAGCACGTGGTATATATTCTGACATGTGCAAACTTTAATCCCTGATTCCCTTCTGAGTTTCCTTTCGTTTGAGAGTGAGTGTTAATAGTGGTATGATTTATAATTGAACTTCTTTAACAACTCGAGTAATTTAGACGAATTGGTTCTTGGCAGTTAATACTATTAAGTGTTAATTTCAATATGGACCATAAAATTTTACGATTTTTTATAATAATCTATGATTGTGATTTTATCCCAATATTCGGTTATACGTAAAATCATTATTTGGACTGCATTGATTGGAACCTTGATCAACATACCCTTCATTTTTTCAAGTAATTATAAAACACAATATTACTTATAAATATTTAATAATCCACAAGCTCTAATGAGAGCATTGATGTCTTCAAAAAACTGCCACGACGGTGGTGGAAACTATCGACAACGACCTCAATAGGAGATGACGTTGCGTATCAGGATTTTTTTTTCTCTTCGATCACCAAAGGTTCTTCCATAACTATTTTTGGCCCGGTTTTTAAAAGTGTTTTTCGACTTCAAAAACTGAAACAGCGTCAAACACGACTAAAAGATCGACTTTTGAAAAACCAAAAATGCTTTTGTATAGCAAAAATGCTATAATGAGAGCGTTGATGTCTTAAAAAAAACGGCCGCATCGCTGACCCAATTGTTTTCTCTTTCGATCACCAAAGGTTTCTTCCATACCTCGTATGTAGGCTGCAAGCTAAGTATATCAGAAAGACAGACATTCAACTCCACAAATTAAGTAACTTTCTATTTAATATTTTTTCTGTGAAACGAACATGGTTGACATTATCCCATAAATATTTGATACATTTAATAAAACTATGAAATTTAGTATCAATATATTCTTACAATCATGTATATGGGAATCTATAGATTTAATAAAATTATAAAAGCAGGTATCAATATATGCCTACATTCATCGTTCATGAATATCTATAAATTTAATAAAATTATACCATTATACAAAATATTAATAAAATTATGAAAGCAGTTATCAATATATGCTCACAATCACTTCCATATCTATACATTTAATAAAATTATGAAAGGAGGTATCAATATATATGCTTCTTAACTTATATTATGGCCGTTGTGGAGCAAATTTTTGCCACGTAGGACAGAGAAATCTCCACAATTTTCCATGTCATTTTGTCATTTTTAACATTTTAAGTTATTAGTTACATTAAAATAAAACTAAATAAACATGTAAATCAATCATAATGACCAAGATTTGAACATGTGACCTACTAGGTCAAACTATCATCATTTCAAATGTTCAACCACTAGAATAAAGTATATTTGATACTACTAACCACAACAAAACATGTATATCAATTACCATAACTAAGATTTAATCATGCAACCTACAAGCACAAACTGTAATCATTTCAAATTTTTTACCAATAGAATAAATAATCTTTCATGCAATTAATCACAACTATTTTTTAACCAATGCAATAGCTATCACGTTTAAAATTTTATATAATATTCTTTAGCATTGATAAGAAAATCATTAACATCTACAAATAAATTATTTTTAGTTTATAATATGTTTCATAAGTTTTTATAATTTCTTACAAATAATTAAAAAAATCCGAAAAGCATAAATTTAGTTGGTACACAATTATAAACTCTTACATCATTTGACATGTGATTTTCTTTTAAAATTGAAAAATGAAAAGTAAAGAATAATCTTCTTCCGCATTCTAGAACACAAAGAATTTAACATTTTATTTGTACGAACTAATATAAATATGTGAACCAATGTAGATATGTTGCAGTTTGTTAGAAATAACTTACTATATATATATGAAATATATCAACATAGTTAAGTCATATGGTACATTGATATATACACAAAATTTCACGTGTTTAAGAATATCACTAGACACCAATGGTCACCAAATATTTTTTTGTATATTTTTCAAAGCCGAATTATGGTTATATGGTTTAAATATGTTTGTGACCAATAGGTGAAAGAAGTTAAAAAAAAGCCATGTACATATACATAATGCATTTGTCATTTTTAGGATTGAATTTGGCATTTCTCGCATATTAAAATGATATCATTATCTTTTCTTTTATGTTATTCCAACTTCTTTCTCTTTTCATTTTCCATACGTCATTAAATATTCTTCCATGCACAATTATAAAACACATTGTCTTTACTTTTTTCCTAATGTAATTATAATTCCTTTCTTTTCTCTTTTTATTGTTTGACATAAATTCCTTTCTTTTTCATACATGAGTGTAGATGTGCAACTTTGAGTCATATTCAGATGAACACCTAAGTTAAGCAAGATTTGTAAACGAATCGTAAACTATTGGATATATTATGGTTGATATGTAAATAACTATTTAATACTTACTTAATATGACACCCTAATACATATATTACTATTACTGTTTTTAGTAACCAGTTATACTCGCCGGACAGCCTTACTCATAATATAATGATATATATCTTCTCCTTTACCTTTAAGAGTATAGTTCAAAATGACTTATTGTCCCTCCTATTGACCATGGCAGAACATGGAGTATTCAGTTTTTCGTCACCCACCTCTCAGGCCTTCTGCCTTAACTTAACTGTCAAGATACATGCGATATGTTATATCTTATTCAGTCAAATAAACATCCATTCATCACCACATGCCATATCACATTCATCATCTCAAACTCAAAGAATTCATACATCACAACATAAGGACCATCACCCAGCCTATTGATAACTCAATGTTTAAACATGTATGCATCAAATATCACATTATACTGGCATTACCATGTAACCCATGTCCCAACATAGCAAAACATCATATCATCCAATCTTAAATCATTGTATAAAACACCATAGAAAACCATCATCATCGACATGCACATTTCATATATCACATCATAGAAAGTCATCACTTAACCACATCATAAGTAATATTTATACAAGGATTCAATCACATGCATGGTTAGGTTCATTGCATTTTACATCTTAATTTGCCAAGTCATACATTCCTCGGGTAGTATAGTAGATGTTATGCATACCACCACAGATCGTACCTAGACTGGTGTCCTATAAATCCACTGCGGGTCATACCCTTACCGATGTCATGTATACCAGGGTGGGATGTATCCGGACCGGTGTCCTATAAAATCAACGCAGGATCATATCATGACGATGTCCTGTAAATTTAGTTACTATACTGACTGCACAACATAGCGCCTTTATGTTTGTATTAAGTCACACAATTCCAGTTACAGTCAGTCACATATTTAATATTGGATGATAATGTGAAGTGAAGACAAAGTGTCTCAATAACTAACATTTGCTTTGATATCATTCGTACAATGTTGAAGGTGAGAAGCATAGCAGAATAGTTTTGTTGTACTTTGATATAATGGTAGAAAAGGCTAGCATACACTCGAGGTGTAATATGCACCTTCATTCATACCTATTATTTGTATGTTAATATATTTTGACAAATAAGAATCGGTGGTTATTATTTTTCATTAAATGAATCATACGATTTGGATTAGAGAATTAGAGACCATGGTTCACCTATTAGAGAATAGGGTATAGCATC